AAAATCAGACGAATCAACCGCATACTTTACTTTCATTTGCTTGATTTCGTTGGTCCATAAACTAATATCGTTCTGTTTAAAAATGCTTTGATGTCTACAGTTTCAACTCTATTATATTCAGTTTTATAGTATATATATAAATACCGCATGAAGACAGTGTGAGTATGTTTCTCAATATACTGGCATATCAGGGATACCCGAGTTTTTGTCCATTTCTGCTTTTGATGTAACATGTTCTTTTCGTCGGCTTTAAATTATTTTACTGTGATTAATGGTTCTGTACTAACTTTTATGCGTAATTAATTGCATGTCCTACTGATAATTGAATTCGAGAAACATACATGGATATTTTGAATAAGGTATGCTATTTGAAATACCATTCGACATTAAAATCAAGCATACAATAATATTTGACGGAACAATCGATTTGAACATTCAAATAGATGTGTAGGTATTAAAACTTTTCCTGAAATTTTAGCCCTGCATAATAAAGAAATCTATTACTGACATTTTCCTCATATTAACACACATACATAAAGATTAATTTAAGGATACTTACAACTGACTTAAAGATTTCGCAGTCAATCAGCAAGTGCCGTATTGACATCGCATCAGACTTATTAATATCACGTGACAGTTTATCACCAAACACATACACTGTAATAATGTCAATCAGGTTTGCCGCAATTTGAAGTCACCCAGACATTCATGATCACGTTTATACTAACAGTCAGACAGTTAATTGAAAAACGTCTTATTGTTGTTGCTGCATATAATGATAAGGTGAGTAACTTATTGTGGTAAATGATAATTTACGTTACTACACAGATGTGGTGAGAGTGATCAGTAGAAACTGACGTTACTATAAAGATGGGACAATAGTATATGTAATATGTAACGTTATAACAAATCCAAATTGAAATGAGTGCACCGTTTTCAAAATGATATTTAATTTATCATTCTACAGTTTTTTATATTTTATAAAGATCACGCACGTGTATGTTCACGTGGTTTTTAATACCGCTGTAAATTAGTTGAAGGATATTGTCTATGGTTGCTTAAATATCATTCCGGACATCTGATAGGTATAATGAAATCGAAGGTAACAAAAATAACACGAAATGTTGTTTAGAGTTCAAATGTAGGCTTGGTAATAGTATCCCGAAAATACTTATTTCTAACCGGTAGACATCCTTCACAACACCACAACATTGGACACAAATATGTATAGATTGAAAACGATAACTTAGCAAATTTGTTGGTCTTATAAAGACAACTTAGATATGAATATATTGATTGTGACAAATATTTTCTTAAGATTGTACTCAGTGATAAGTATCTACCTATATAATATTGAAATCATTTCACTCTCTGTAGGAGTTCCACCAGAAGAACCAAATCTATGACAATAATTATCTTCCTATAGCAATATTGAAATTAATGTACTCTCTTTCTCTCTCAATGCAAGTTCCGCAAGTAGTACCAAATCCATGACTATTAATTTCCTATGATAATATTGAAATCAACGTACTCTCTTTATAAGTTCCGCCGGTTGTACAAAATCCGTGACAATCACTACCTGTAGTAATATTGAATGAAATCAACGTACTCTCTTTATAAGTTCCGCCGGTGGTACAAAATCCGTGACAATCACTACCTGTAGTAATATTGAATGAAATCAACTTACTCTCTTTATAAGTTCCGCCGGTTGTACAAAATCCGTGACAATCACTACCTGTAGTAATATTGAATGAAATCAACTTACTCTCTTTATAAGTTCCGCCGGTTGTACAAAGTCCGTGGACAAACACTACCTGTAGTAATATTGAATGAAATCAACTTACTCTCTTCACAGGTCCCGCCAGTAGAACCAAATCCATTACTATCAAAGTAACCAGCTTGACATCTACAGAGATAACCGCCTGTACTTGTACACTCAGCATTAGTATCAGAACACTGGGAAACACCACCACAGGCTTCACTTAGTGCAGGATCTAAAAACGGGAAAATGCATATAGATTTTAATCAAAACATTTTCCTATTCAATTGTTTGACCGCTAGAACACGTATAAGGTTATAATGCATGTTAGTATATTAATCAATATTACGTCGAGTAAAAGCGTTAGTCTCCCTTACCCTGTATACTTACATATATTCAGGCCAGGGAGGTAGATAAGGCAGTTTATTTGAAGCATTAAATTCTGATTCCCCGATTTATTTGCCTATTATGATTAGGTAGGTGCGTAAGATATATAACAAAGCAATAAAAAGAATATTTGAAACATAAGTATCCAATTCCCTAGTGTACTTACCTGTTAGGGCTAGGTAGTTGAATAAGCGCATTTAACAACTGAATGGAAAAAGCTGTTGAAGCATTAATCTTCGATTTTCATGAATAATTACCTGTTCTTGTCAGTAATATGAAATGACCATGTCATCCATTTTCTCTCTACTTACATGTGCTGTTCATGTTGATATTCTAGATAAAAGTCTACAAGATGCAAAATATCGTGAAATATAAATCTCCTGGTGTCGTCTGTGCTGGTCACGTTCTCGTCTAGGTCGTATGAATTTGTTTGCTGTACACACATTGCGCCAATATAAATGTTGTGCTCCATTCATGTGTACGTCACCAACGTAGGTGGTCACACTGTAGTCGTTCCTCCTTCAATCTAGATATATGTTTCGCAACATAAACCAAAAGATCCTACATAGTTACGCTTAGGAAAACGCCAGATATCCTCGTACTCGTTGTTACACAAAATTTCACTACACTACTTGACAAGATAGAAAACTGTGTTTCCGATAATAGATACAATTTCATTTTAACTTAAAATACAATCATCGAAGTATGAATATGAGAAACTAAGTTTGTTTTCTACTGTTGAAATTTAAGTAGCAAAATAAAAGTCCTCGTTTTATACCTATGTAATATTTAACAGCATTAAGTCAAAAGACACACTTTGATATAATTGCTATAGTATACTTAACATCATAGTCTCAACCTTAGCGCCTTATGCCAATATGATACTTACACCTATACATTCCTAACATATATCTTAGTTTTAACTTTATAACATCATAACAGTCACTTGATATATGATAGACTTACAGCAATGTAACAATGCACGTAATACATTCTTACAAAATCTCTTAGATTTACCACTATATATAAACGCCACACATTATCACGATAATGATATGGTTGATATATCTTAGTCTTACATCTTTGTATTACTTAAAGCCATACACTCTGACGCTATATCTTAATATTACGACTTAACATATCTTAACACCCTGCCTTCTTACAATTTATCTTAGTCTAACGACTTTACGTCACTAAATGCCATTATAGTAGATATAAAAGTCTTACAACTATGTTATACTTAAAGTATTATGGCCACATAAAATACCTCAATCTAACGACTATATTAAACAATAGTAAATGACATGCTGTGTTTACGTTGAAGTCGTGACCTATATAGATATGCGAAATAAAAAGACTCAGAATCCTTTGTTTATTTTAAAGAGTTGGTTACGCCAATGTATTATTTTCTATGTTTTGCGAAATGTCATCTACTAGAGGAATCTGTTTCATGAACGAGACTAGCTTATCCTCGGAACGAGACTAGCTTATCCTCGGAACGAGACCACGAAAGCTAAATCTCTGTGAAAGTAAAATGCTATAGACAATGTGTTTGTAAGAGTTCTCACTTCACCAATAGTTCAAAAAAAATCTTTTTTGAATTTTCTGTTTTGACCTTTCAAAAACTTGCTACTCATTAACACACCTCACTAGCCAATCTGTATTACAACTAACTAGCTACTGTGTAAAAGCATTAACTAGGTAATTCATACTACAACTAACTAGCTACTGTGTAGTAAAAATAGTTAGCTTCTTTGTACTACAACTAACCTCTCTGTATAGTGGATAGTATGTGTTATAAAATTTCAGCTACAACAGCATAAAAGTTACTGTGTACAACAACCTACAATCGTATATGTGCAAAATTGATTATAGACGTCTACAACAAAGACATTATTCGTAAGACAAGTTTATTTATTGTTCACGTACTTAACCACATGAGATAACAGTTCTACTAAGCAATTAAATGTTGTTTGCCAAACATCGTCAGGTGATCAGAAACTAAATCTGAATAACCTAACGACAATGTAGGATGTTTAATTTGGCAATGTGCTATCTCTGCTGCATTTGTTCTATATCATGCGCGGGGTAACATACACATCTGGTTTTAAAATAACTAAACAATTAATATTTTGATTTAAGGCATAATCTATATTTCTGTAACACTTCTCGTTAAAGTAAATCTACAAGATCTTACTTGCTACACATGTATCCCCGTAGTCGTAGTATCCCTCGCTACAATGGCATGTACCACCGACACCAGTACAAGTGGAGTTGGCTGTACATTCATCAGTCACGTGGTAACAAGGTCCTTCTCCTGCCTTGATTTCTGGTTTAAAATGGTTATCACAGCATAATATATTCATCATAGTTATTCCTACTTGTTGTGAACGTGAAGACATTTAAAACAGCACTTGCATTGTACATAACACTTAATATCAAATTCTTAATTGAAATGTCATAAAAGTCATGCATTGAATATTTTCATGTTTAGCTGCATGTGGTGGCAATTCACAGGTAGCTCATTCAATAACTTTGCCGTTGTAATAAGCAAGCTTGCAATACATATTATGTAATGATACTAAGCTAGATTCGCAGTTTGTTTTGTTCATAGAAGTAAAGCAAATAAAGCGTCAACGAAATCAAACTTAGAAGTCCTCACCTAACAAGTACATACTCAATAGAACAAAACAACCCAGACTTAAACACATTACAGCTGAAAACCGAGTTTTGAGGAAGTGCACTTCTGTATTGTCGATACGGTATTAAACAAGAACATTCCACTAATCCACTAATCATCAAATTAATAGTAACATTTTAAAAATGTTTCAACAGAAAAGCAACACACAATGGGAGAAGCTATGTCTTTCAAATATCCTATTTCAATACCCAAACATTTGCTGATTCTTGTATCTTTACTCAAAAAAGGCTAAGGAAAGCAATGTTTTTTTGTTTGACATAAATAGCATGTTACTAAATCTGTTTGATGTGAAATCAGTTTTTTTTATATAAAGCTTCATATAGATCCAATTATGTTTTAAATTATTTTAAAACAAACAAGCCACTCTGTACAACAACTGATTTACGTCTCTCGCTACAACAACTTAAAAGCACTCTGTCCTTCAACTAATAAGTAAATATGTGCTTCAACTAACTAGCTAGTCTGAACTATAACTTACTAGCAACTATGTCGGACAACTAACTAGCTAGTCTGAACTATCAAGTACTAGCAATTATGTCGGACAACTAACTAGCTAGTCAAAACTATGTCGAACTAGCAACTCTGTCGGACAACTAACTAGCTAGTCTGAACTATCACGTACTAGCAATTATGTCGGACAACTAACTACCTAGTCAAAACTATAACTAACTAGCAACTCTGTCGGACAACTTACTAGCTAGTTCAAACTATAACTAACTAGCAACTCTGTCGGATAACTAACTAGCTAGTCAAAACTATAACTTACTAGCAACTCTGTCGGACAACTTACTAGCTAGTTCAAACTGTGACTTACTAGCACCTCTGTAGGGCAACTAATGGCTGTGTTATGCCATGAATGAGATTATACATGCATGTATACCTGAAATTGGAACAATTATTAAACTTCTATACGTCAATTAAGACATGATTCATTCATATAATACTTCAGTAAAAGTTAATAAACAAGCAGCACTTACTTGCTACACAAGTATCCCCGTAGTCGTAATATCCCTCGCTACAATTGCATGTACCACCGACACCAGTACAAGTGGAGTTGGCTGTACATTCATCAGTCACGTGGTTACAAGGTCCTTCTCCTGCCTTGATATCTGGTATAAATTAATCATCATCACGTGATATACAAATCAAAGATACTCCTATTTGTTACGGATGTCAGGTCCCTTAAAACATGGATTATTGTAGCTTTTTGTTCTTAAAGTGCAATGTCGCTATTACTTCTTTGCTTAAATATCTTTTTAATTTGTTCAGATCTATTCTAATAAGATATTTCCATCGTGCTCATTACTGTCATGATTTTGCTATATATAATGGTAATTATAAAACAAATGACTCAATAATACTGAATGTGATAAGATTTTGCATCTTTTGTTCACTAACCGAGGGGATATGCGATGACATCGCCGTATTTCATAAGTAATGACTGTTTTTATGCATTTTATGTTGTAGTATTATTTCGCAGTGACTGTTCGTCTCGTTTTTATATTTTGTGTTATGTCATTGCTCATGTCTTTGTTTGGAAAAGAAGGTCGACTGACCTGAAAATTTGACATATTCCTTTGTTTGCACTGTTATTACTTGTGCAGATCCAGGGCCAATATTTGATCACACTGTCGTTCTTACTTGTGCAGTTCCAGGGCCAATATTTGATCACACTGTCGATTATTTGATCACACTGTCGTTATTACTTGTGCAGATCCAGGGCCAATATTTGATCACACTGTCGATTATTTGATCACACTGTCGTTATTACTTGTGCAGATCCAGGGCCAATATTTGATCACACTGTCGTTTTTTTGATCACACTGTCGTTATTACTTGTGCAGATCCAGGGCCAATATTTAATCACACTGTCGTTATTACTTTTGCAGATCCAGGGCCAATATTTGATCACACTGTCGATTATTTGATCACACTGTCGTTATTACTTGTGCAGATCCAGGGCCAATATTTAATCACACTGTCGTTATTACTTTTGCAGATCCAGGGCCAATATTTAATCACACTGTCGTTATTACTTGTGCAGATCCAGGGCCAATATTTGATGACACTGTCGTTCTTACTTATGAGACCTAAAGTATTGCGCAACTTAATCCAGTTTTTCTATTTGTGATCCAGTATATCCAACTGTTTTGTTTCATTTTGTTTGTTATTTTTGTTCCTGTCTTTGCCCGTGTCGTGTGTTTTAAGGACCTGTCTTATTAATCTCTATCTATTAGACCACTAAGCAAGAGGCACACCGGGTTGTAACTCTCCAAAATCATATGAACAATTACAGCCCATACCTACAGGCAAGTATTGTACCTAAAGCCTTAAAATTAGAGTGATCGCCCAATATTTCCTTTGTCCAAGTCGACCACTTAACGTTTTGAGCAGATATTACATGTCTGTCAGGCCAACGTTTAGTTACTGCTACAGGGAGTATGCAAAAAGAAACTCAGTATTGCATATAAGGGGCCGACATTGGGTCTTCTTTACTTTACATTCTTCCACAAAAGATACAACACATCCAGAACAAAAGACGTACGTGCCTCTCTGCATCAGAAACAAACAAAGAAATCCAAACGCAACGGAATCACTCAACTTGAGGATATCACCATCACACCGCCTGCCACACAACCCCGAAAGAGGAGACAATGCAACAACACAGTCAACAACAACAACACAGTAATCAATCCCTCGAACACAACTTTTCAGAACAGGGGAATGAGCTCCCCTGAAAAAGTCTCAATTTCTGTCTTGTCCCAAGAAATCCCAACAATGCGGAATTAATTCAGGATGTGGACACTTTTGCAGGCGACTCCCACAGGGGCTCGGTTTCGGGATTTTGATTAATAAATGACGTAAATTGTAATGATTTCGGTTAATAATACACGTATTCACATCAGTAAATAATAAAAACACTAACCGAATGTNGTCAACAACAACAACACAGTCAACAACAACAACAACACAGTCAACAACAACAACACAGTCAACAACAACAAAACAGTCAACAACAACAAAACAGTCAACAACAACAACACAGTCAACAACAACAACACAGTCAACAACAACAACACAGTCAACAACAACAACACAGTCAACAACAACAACACAGTCGACAACAACAACACAGTCGACAACAACAAAACAGTCAACAACAACACAGTCAACAACAACAACACAGTCAACAACAACAAAACAGTCAACAACAACAACACAGTCAACAACAACAACACAGTCAACAAAACAGTCAACAACAACAACAGATTCAACAACAACAAAACAGTCAACAACAACAAAACAGTCAACAACAACAACACAGTCAACAACAACAACACAGTCAACAACAACAA